AAGGACAATTAGGTTAAGTTGTATAATCTTATGACTAAATATGTTCTTAAAACAAAATTGTGATATTTTGGGAATTAAAATTAGTAAGGATGGTTATATATGAGAATATTTATTAATAAAAAAATAGTTAGATGGGGGATTTCTCTTTTATATGTATATTAGTTTTTTCTCATTTTATTATAATTTTCAATTCGAATCAAAATAAGAATCTTCGGGTGTAAAGGGTATTTTAAGCTAATAAATACTTAAAGATATTTGAGGTATTAGAAAATTAGGGATGTAAATACCCGAGTCGGACTTGTTCGGGTTAAACCTAGGTCCTAGGTAGAGATGGCAATGGGCCGAGCGGAGACCGGATACCCCTTCGCCCGGACCCAAGCCCAACCCATGATAAAGGCCCAATCCCGGCCCGGGCCCATCACGTGGATGACGAGTAAAGCCCAAGCCCTGCCCGACGAGCTTTTTGTAATTTAGTATCGGCCCAAGCCTACCCATATTTATAATGTGAATTTTAAATATTAATAAATTTTAATTTTTTTTTTATATTTAATTCTAGAAACAGATTTTAAATATTAATTTATTTTTTAATACTCACCAAATATTAATAAATTTCAATTTTTTTATACATATGTGGGATAATTCTGTAATTAGATATATAGTACAAAGATAATTTAATAAAATTAATAGTAAAATTGTCAGGTTGGGCCAGGCTGGGCCAAGACTGAAGACATACTGATGCTTGGCCCATACTTGAGGGTCGGCCTTAAAATCAGTCTCAGGCCCAAGCCCAAGCCCACTAACATTAGGTAAAGTCTAGCCTTTTCGAGATGGACCGGGTCATATACTCAAAAATATCAGACTCATTACCATCTCTAGTCCTAGGAGGCATTCAAAAAGCCTGGTCTTTAGATACATTTAAAATATAGGGTTAATGCCATTGATTTTCGTGATGAGAAATTTCATTAGTTTTTCAAAGATATTTTTTCGTTTGGAAAATAATAATCGTGAGGAGAAATTTCATTATTTTTTCTAATTTTACTTTAATTTTCAATGTGAATTAATATAAGAATCATAGGTGCAAAGGGTATTTTAAGCTAATACATACGTAAAGATAAGGTTTATTTTTATATGAATTTTGGGTATCCTTTTTTTTTTTTTTTTTTTGAAAGTATTGAAAATGAATGGTATAGGCGAAAAAATAAAAATGCATGTGACGTGTTTGTAAAAAGATAATATTTGAAAATGTATAAAATGAAAACATCTTTCAGAATAGTAAATAAATAAATTATGCAATAAAATGAACTAATAGGCAAGAAAAGGTAAACAACGGACCCTAAATTTATTAGTTGTCAGTATAAAATGTTTGAATATATGATATTAACAAATTGTTATATTGAGATTATACAAAATCAAATTAAAATATCTGAAAATGATAAAAAATAATAAAAAGCAGGAAAAAGTATAAAGAAAACATGACAGTTGTAGTGTTTGGATGGAGCCAGAATTGCAATCGTGTAAAATTTTTAATAAATAAATAGACATTTAATGATGTATCATTAACAACCTTTGACGTTGATTCTGTTATCTAGAAGTTAGAATCAAAGAATATAAAGACAAAAATACCTCAGATTGTGTTACTGAACATGTGGAAATTGATCAAATAAGACAAATGACTAATATAACTACTATTTTGTCCCCAAGTATTTTTTAATAGTACAAATTTATTTATTCATTATTTAGATATACTTACCAAAATGTCTATAAGTTTTAAAATTTGCTCTTTTAATCCTTTGACTCTAACTTCTAGATTACAGAGTTAGCCCTGAGGGTGTTTGTGATACAATATCAAAAGTCCAAGGTAAAAAAGTATGACAAAAATTAGGAAAGTTTTCATCCTAGTGATAATGTAGACGGTAAAAATCTACGATTACAGAAAGGATGAAACCTGTGAGATTGAGACTACTGACAATCCGTTTGGGAAACAACGGGGTAGTGTTTGTCATAGACACTCTGACGCTCAATTCAACAAGGTTAAAAGAGGCTATTTAATAATAATTAATGGAAAGAAGGATTACTAGGAGTTTTGTCGAAGACCAGGACTACGATGAAGGCGTTAGATTACTAGGAGTTTTGTCGAAGACCAGGACTACGATGAAGGCGTTAGGTTCTCGAGAGCAAGAATTTAGGAGCAAGTAGATGGTTTTAAGTAGTGGAGCTTGAATGAATTATGAGAGGGTAAACATCTGTTTATATAATGAAACCAAAGGGTTGGACACCTAGTAGGACATTGAGCCCTGCTTTGGAAGATAATCTCTATTAAGAAAGAAAAATGATTTCTTGTCCTTATCAGATTAGGTTTACTAGTTTGAGTAAGATTCAGAATTTTATCAGAAGAGGAAATAGAATATGATTTTAATTTCCTATTTATGGACTGTTATAGGCTAATGGGCCGGAACCAAGTTTAGCTTAACTTGTAGGATAGCCCAACCCATACAATAGGCAGTTCACTAGATGACTTTAAGCGTAGGCCCAACCGAGGCTTGGCTAAGGCCATAGGCTGTGAAATGTTTATTTCGTTATTGGGCCTCGTCAGGCCCAAGACGATTTTTTGCCCATACAATTATTCCTCTACTCTCTAAGTTAAACAGTACTCAGCTTAGAGAGTAGATTTAATCGAATGAGTACGAACTGAGCAAATTAGTGCTAGCAGCTCGTCAGGTCGGATGGACTATTATTTGGAATGTGAAAGTTCGCTCGACCAACCTGAGTTGGGAAGAGTTTGCTTGACTAACTTGAGTTATGAGGAGTTTGCCCGTTGATAATCCTATTTTTCCCTATGATTTTATATTGAATTTCAATAGGATTTAGGATACTTCTCATACAATTTAAGTCATAATTGCTACTTAATTTTATTAATTTTTCTTTGCAGGCCTAAACGATGATTTTGAGCATAAATGATGGTTTTGAGCATAAATTGCATAACTTGAGCTTGGAAACTCAAAATGACCTGAATTTAGAAGTTATGGAAACCTAAGAATCATAGGTACAACTTTTATGTTTTGGATTTTCCATAATTCTGACTGGAAAAAGGTGAAAACTTGGCTTGATTTCGTAAACAGTACGTTGGGAACTGAAGAAAAATGTCTTTGGACGTGCTTCAGTATTTTGGCCATAACTTGAGCTATAGACCTCGGATTGGGATGATTCTTAAACGAGTAGAAATATAATTGAAAGAGATACAATTATTATATTTACTACTTTTTCAGATTCAGATTTTATCATGCTCAAATTGGGCCCAAATGATACTCGCCGCGGCAAAGAAAAAGTGTCACCATGGCGAAATTGCGTTAGATTTAAAAAAAAAAAAAAATGACGAATTTTGGCTTACTAGGGCTTCATCCTTAAGTGAGAGAGGTATAAATTGGCATGAGAAGGAAGGGAAAATGATCTTGGTTCGTCATTTGGGAGGCAACTCTTGGAAGGAGAAGATTATTGAAGATTTGTGCTTCAAATTAGAGAAGATTTCTCCATCTTTTGCTTGTTTTTCAATGATAAACCTTGATTCAGTTTGTTTTTGTTTATTTTTTTAGTATGAACTGAATTGTTTAGCTAGGGTTTGATGTAACCTTGATACAATGATTCAAATTTATATGAATTGATTTACTTTGAGTTTTAATTTCATGACTGAGTGTTTATCTCTTTGCTTAATGACTTTTGGATGCTTAATCATCATTCAAATGTATGTTGATCACAATGAGACTGAGAAGTGATTTTTGATAAATGTCTCTTGGGATAAATACCATGGATTGAGCGAAAACTAGAGATAGATAAACGCGATCTATGAAATCTAGATAGAATTCCACAAAGTTTAAGAGACCTTGAACTATTAAACTTCAATTTTTGGGTTCAGAAGGTTAATAGGAATAGGTGGGGTGGTATAACCTGAGAAAGAGTACCAAACAACTTAGGAAATTCGATTTTCAATCAAGGAATTAGAACTTGGGTAATAGATTCTATGATTTGGGTTAGCGTATCTAGGTGAAATCAACACCCTAGCATTTTTTAGCATTGTTTAATTAGTTAGGTTGTTGGGTTTTTCTTTAACTTCATTATTATTTATTTATATTTTGTTAAATTTTTTTTAGTTTATTAATTTTCCATCAATCCAATTTATTGTTGCTTCAATTAAGACTTAAACTAGAGAAATTGGTATTTAGTAACACTATCCTTATGGGAACAATACTCTACTTATCAATTTATTACTTTTTGCGACTAGTGCACTAACTACGTATGCATGTTTGTAAAATCACGCATCACTTGAGCAACCTGAGTTAGAAGGAGTTTGCTCTGAGTTGGGAGAAATGTGAAGACTCGCTCAACCAACTTAGGTTGGGAGGAGTTTGCTCGACCAACCTGAGTTGAGAATACTGAGTATCCTGGAGAGTATGTTGTTCCTTCTGTAGATGTATGAATATGTGAATCATAGCCCTCTAAGGGCCGAGTTGATTCAACTTGGTTCATTCACATGTGGGTTCGTGCGAAGTATTATAGAGTCATTTCAAGATGGTGATGTGTACCTCCCACTCGGCTCAACTCATGCTAATGAGTGGATGGTGCTAGCCGAGAGAAGAATTTGTCGGTGATAAATATGAGATGGTATGCACCTCCCACTCGGCCCGGCTTATGCTGATGAGTAGACGGTGTATGCTGAATGGAGCTTGTATGGAGCTGAATGATGGTGCATGACCGAATGAACCTGTGTGGAGCTGGTCTTTGGAGCTGGAGGTTATGCACATGAGGTTGTCGATAGTCGTTTGAAGGTGACTCAGCCGAATGGAGAAGTGTTGCATGATGTGCATGTGCAAGACCAAATGAAAAATAAAACTTAAACGGAGAAATGACATGCATGGTTTGCAAGTGCAATACAAAATGAAAAATAAAACTTAACTGGAGGAGTGACCTGCATGGTGTGCATGTAAAAAGAGATGGTTCANTTTTTTTTGATAATATTGCAGCTGTATTATGACTTTTAACTTTTGATTTCATAATCACATCTTCTGGCAGTTTGTTGCTGTTAGTTTGGGACAAAAAATCATGTTGAATGTGCTCATTGTTCTCCAGATGTGTAGCTTCTTATTCTTTCTGGTTTGATGGATTTACTGAGGTATTTATGAGCAAATATTATTTTCTACAGATTTCTACAACTTAAGTGTTTGTTGGATCTTACCATGTCATCTATCTTTGCAAAATTAAAAAAGCTCAGCCTTCAGTTAAAGTATTAGTACTGTTGTTACTAAGGAGGAAGCATATGCTACACAAGAAATTCAAAGCATATGGTACTAAGGAGAAAGCATTACAGAATAGACCTAAAGAAATTAAAGATCCCGATGATTGGATATATCTTTGTGACATTTTTTCTAATGAAAAGCTTCAGGTAAGGTCAACATCATATTTCATGTTATTATAAATGTATTGTATTTTGATAGGAACCCACTCCAATAACTCAACAATTTGGACTGGGCCATGGGTCTTTTATAGGCTTGGGTAGAACTCTCTTTGGAAAACCGGCTTGCCAAGGGAGGGTGCCCAAGCCTATATAACCCACATGCCCACCCTTTTCCCTTTCAATGTGGGATCCTAACATTCCACCATGCTTCCGCAACCGACGTCCACGTCGGCCTCTTTACCCCTTGGGTGACTACGCGGATCCCCTTTCCCTCGGGCCTCCATGCCTTTTCTCAGGGTAGTAGCCCGGGCCCAAGGTCAGCCTGCCACGGGTCAGCCTGCCACGGGTTAGCCTGCCACATAGGCGCAGGATCATGCTCTAATACCAATTGGTAGGAACCCACTCCAATAACTCAACAATTTGGACGGGGCCATGGGTCTTTTATAGGCTTGGGTAGAACTCTCTTTGGAAAATCGGCTTGCCAAGGGAGAGTGCCCAAGCCTATATAACCCACATGCCCACCCTTTTCCCTTTCAATGTGGGATCCTAACATTTTAATATTAAATTTTGTGGTGTTAGGCACGGTCAAAAACTTATTCTGAGAACCAGGCGAAGATGAGGTGTAACTACCGCGGTGGTTCAAAGAACTTTATTCAGCACAAAAAGGAAAAGGTATTTAATATTATTCACCTATACAAATATACAACTTTGTTTTACTGTTTACCAATTTTATTTTAATTTATGGTCAATGACCATATAAACTATTAAGGGAAACCAACCTGAGGAATCTGTCGGTCCTGTACAATTATTTCATGACACTCTTTGGATTAATGAACAAGCAAGAGAGCTATATGTAAGTTCATCATCTTTGAATTATCAAAATAAGGTTGCTTCTTTTATATGTTATGTGTTATGATCAGAAGTAGTGAAAAGGAGTAGCTTTTTCCTAAACATAAATATGCTTCTGCTTTGTGTTATATGCTTCTGTTATGTGTTATATTGCACATCACTTTGGCACACCAAACACTGAAAAACTTGGAGAATCTTTTAAGAGGAGATTGGAAAAACTATCTCCACAAGAAAGGCACCCCACTATTGCCTAATCCCCACGCCATCTCCAAAAATTCAGATACATTAATAGCAACAATGGCATTATATTTAGCATCTTTGCTGCAACTTTTGTTTTTCTTGCTTTATTCTCTAGGATTCCTTCAATTCAAGTTCATAACTGTTTAATTTTTCTTAGCTTGTTTTTTAACTTCTGTAAAAATTTGACTTTAAAATTTTAAACAAGAGAATTGAAGTTGAGATTGATAATCTGTGAGANGAATGCGTGAAAAAATTAAGGATTCAAAATTCATTACTGCAAATACGGGTGCCCGCGGGTTCACCCGTATAAACCGTGTGAATTTGGGCCGAATACGGGTACGGGTCTCAAAAAACAGGTTTAATAAATTGGACCCATACCCTATATTTTTTACCCAGGTACGGTCCAACCCGCGGGTCTAGACCCGTTTTGCCAGGTCTAGTTAGAACTGGTAAAAGATTATGATTGTGAAATTAAGTATCATCCTGGAAAAGTTAATGTAGTAGCTGATGCTTTGAGTCAAAAAGCCTATATATCCCAACTCACAATGCTGGGAGAATTATTAGAAGAGTTGTTTAAGGAACAGATAGAGGTGATACCAGGAAGGATTGCAACGTTAGAAATTCAGCCTACTTTGAGGGCAAGATGCCAGAATTTCACTTTTTAGATGGTGTCCTCCGTTTCCAAAATCACATATGCATTCCCCAAGATGCTGAGTTGAAGAAGAAGATTCTTGAGGAGGCTCATGACACACCATACACTGCTAATCCTGAAGGAACCAAAATGTATCAAGATCTAAAGAAGAGTTATTGGTGGCCAAGTATGAAGAGAGATATAGGAGATTATGTGGCTAAATGCCTGGTTTGTCAACAAGTGAAAGCAGAGCATCAGAGGTCATCAGGATTGCTTCAGCCACTCAGCATTCCTGAATGGAAATGGGAAAATATATCAATGGATTTCATCACAGGCCTTCCAAGAGTTCAAAAGGGATATAATATGANAATGAGAAATAGAAGATAGAATAAGAAAACAAAAAAACCAAAAAGAAAATGCAACTCCTAGAAAAGTTTATTTATTTGTGTATTGTGCATTATGTTACTTCCACTAACCAGAATCTCTTGTGTAATTTAGTGATATTTCAGTTTTTATTGAGTATCCTTACATAACAGTAAGTGGGAACTTAGAATATTAGAAAGAACGAAAAAGAATAGAGAAGCTTGTTGTAAGGAAAGAAACCCAGAATATGAGTAACGAAGGAAGAATAGTAGAATAGTGGGTTTACTTACTGAGCAATTAATGCTCACTCCGTTAATTTCATTGTTTTTGCAGGTATTAGATGAGACGCGGTCGGGTGGAACGTCAAGTAGCAGAGGAGATTGGCAATACTGTCTGATAGCACTTTGTGTTTATTTATGTGATTTTGCTACTTGATGTAGAGATTTGTATATAAAGTTAGTTTTTGGGCCCACTATTACACACTTATATACATATATGTTTTCTATGAGATATTTAGTGAGTTTTATTTTATATTTCCCAAAGAATTACTAGCTAGAGAGTATACTACATTTTTTGTATCAGAGCAATGGTTTTGGGAAAAGTAAGATTATTTTATGAGAGTGATTTGACAGTGTGCCTCTCCCGTCGCATTGACGTACTGTAGCCGACCGTTGTAAGTTATTTCTTTCCTTACTTATAATAGATGAGTTAATTTGGTTGACTAAAAGTATTGTTGCTATGTAGATGAGACGTAAGACTTGATCAGGTAGTAAGAATGCATTGAGTACGGGTGAACCATCCAACCCGTTAGGATCTAATCCCCCTGTCGTCAATGAAGCGAGGATCTGTAATATTATACAGTAGGTAATGGCAAAGAGCTAGGGGAGACCTATACCCAAGAGAGTTGAGGCTCTAGTTATTGTACCGACCACCAAAGAAGAGAGAGAGGCCGGTACCCTCGATAGTACAGAATCGTCTTGAGCCCATTTACGGGTTACCTAGTCATCATCAACCATCAAAATTCAGAGGTACGATGAACCTAATAGTAGCAGAAGAGTGGATTAGGTCCATTGAGCGTACAATGGCACTCTTTCCTATCACAGACTGGGAGAAGATTCGGTACTCTAGTTTTATGTTTAAGGGTGATGCCCGGATATGGTAGGAATAGATGGATGATACTCATGATATACCCTCTATGACCTAGGGAGATTTCAGAAGATTGTTTGAGGCAGAATACAGAACGGTTAATCGAGTCCATGAAAAGACTTAAGAGAATATCAGGTTGCAACAAGGGACCAGTTCAATGAAAGAATATTCTATACGATGTAATTCCTTGGCGAGGTTTGCGCCAAGCATAGTAAGCACACTAGAATTGAGGATGAACAAGTTTGTGCATGGGCTGAAACTAGAAATAGCTCGGGATGTGTGGCAGGTGCCCAGTCCCCTCAGACTTACAGTGAGGCCTTGGGACGAGCCTTACGGGCTGAAATATTTTTGAATAAGCTAACCCAAACAATTCCATCAACAACAGCACCTAGTGTTCCACCTCTCGCTCAAAAAAAGAGATAGAGCTATATTAGAGAAGTGAAAAAAAAGAAAAGATTTCAGCCCAAGAAGAATATGAGGGATTGGCAGAATAAAAGGTCAAGGACTATTGAGTTACCCCCATGTCAGAAGTGTGGGAGAAATCATCCTAGGGAGTGCCTCAAAGATGTGGGCCAAAATGTGTGTTAAAGATGCCGATAGCCGGGGATATGATGAAAGACTGCAAAGCCCCTCTTACACCCTAGCACAGAATCCAGAGGTACTAATGCTCGGGTGTTTCACAGTAGCACAAAGGTGAAGCTGAGGCTAGTCATCTGCAATTACTGGTCAGTTACTATTTCATCAGTTCCCCTTTATGCATTAATTGATTCTGGATCCATATCACTCATTTATGACACATGGGATCATAGAAGATTAGGTTTGAAAGCTAATATAGTGGGGTCAGCCATTAAGATAGAATTGTCAGATGGCGTTAGTCTGGTAACTCAAGAGATGCTTCCAAAGGAGTCCGTAGTGATCTATGGAAGGGTGTTAACAGTGGATTGATTGTGCTTGATATACCTGATTTTGATGTTATTTTGGGCATGGATTTCCCAAGGAGATATGGAGGAGAGTGATTGCCGAAAGAAGAAAGCAAAATTTAATCTTGATGATGGTGATAAGTTAGTTTTGGCGAGGGTCACCAACTTAGTATGTTAATCAGTAGTGTAAAGGCTAGAAAGGTGTTTTGGGTACATTGCCTATGTGGTGCACAAGCAGTAGTGATGTCCCACGACCAGAGATCCAAAGTGTGCCAGTAGTCCAAGAGTTTCCAGATGATTTTCGGATGACTTGTCGGGTTTACCTTCAGGAAAGAGAAATGGAATTTAGCATTGAGTTGGCACCAGGGATAGCACCAATCTTTAAAGCCCTTTTGGGGCTGCTAGTCGAACTTCAGGAATTGAAGAGCAGCTCCAAGCACTCCTAGACAAGGGTTTAATTCGACCCAGCCATTCTCCTTAAGGTGCTCCAATCCTATTTGTGAAGAAGAAAGATGGGTGCTATGGATGTGCATAGATTACAGAGAGTTGAATAAATGATAGTGGAGAATAAGTAATCGTTACTGTAAAAATGATTATTGATCAGCTTAAAGGAGCAGTAGTGGTTTTCAAAGGTTGATTTGAGGGCGGGTTATCATCAAGTAAGAGTTGCGGAGCAAGATATTGCCAAGACGCATTTCGACTAGATATGGGCATTATGAGTTTGTAGTGATGCCTTTTGGGTTGACAATGCCCCAGTAGTCTTTATGGATTTAATGAACCAGGTGTTTCATGATTGTCTGATCGATTTATTGTGGTGTTATTGATGACATCTTGGTTTATTCTAAGACAAGAGAGGAGCATGAAGAAGACTTAAATTTGTGGCAGCAGTGATTGAGAGATAAGAAGCTGTTTGCCAAATTTTCTAAATGTGAGTTTGGTTGGACCAAGTTATCTTCTTGGGCCATACTGTCTCAAAGGGGGCATATCGGTGGATCCTAGTAAGGGGAAGGCAATCCTAGAGTGGCAAAAGCTAAAGACAGTAAAGGAGGTTAGAAGTTTCTTGGGGCTAGTTGGCTATTAGAGACGATTCGTAGCAGGATTTGCTTAGTTGGCTAAGCCATTTACAGCTCTTACCAAACAGAGATCTCCTTTCATATGGTCGGATGCTGTGAATAGAGCTTCCAAGAGTTAAAAAGAAGATTAACCACAGCTCCTATTATGGTGTTATCACAGGAGGATGTAGATTATGATATTTATATAGATGCTTCACTTCAGGGACTTGACTCTGTATTAATGCAGTGTGGATAGGGTAATAGTTTAGGTTCTCGACAGTTGAAAGAGTATGAGACGAGATACCTTACGCATGATTTAGAGTTGGCAACTATAGTCTTTGCATTAAATATATGGAGGCATTACTATTGGAGCAAAGAGCAATATTTATACTGATCATAAAGTTTGAAGTACTTTTTCACCCAAAGGGAGCTGAATATAAAACAAAGGAGATGGTTAGAACTAGACCTGGCAAAATAGGGGGGTGGGCGGCGGGTACGGTCCGAGTCAAATGGGTATGGGTCTTTATCGGGTCGAGATATACAGGTCCAAAATGTTGGACCCGTGCCCTACCCTATACTGGTACGGGTGGACCCGTTTTCTCTTCCAGATTTTAGCTTTTTTTTTCCACCTAATAGTTTCAATTAGGACAGTACACCCCCAAAATTCCTACAGTTTTAATTTTTACATTTAACCCCCCTAAATCAATTACTCTAAATTCAATTCAATTTAGAATATAAAACAAATGAATCAAAATAAACAAATAACACATAAACAAACAAAACAATAACATATAATAGAAAACTATAAATACCAACCAAAATAAACAAATACAAAATCACTATACACAATTACACTAACATAAACAAACAAAGTAAGTCAATAAACTATAAATACCAACTAAAATAACAAATACATAATCCAATATTCAATAAAAAAAACATTCTTAAGACAGCAAATGTTCATCCTACAGTGGGCGTGATAGAGTCTCTTGATTCCACAGTCTCGAGATTAGTTAATGACACATCAAGATCATCATCCGAATCATCATTCACCTCATCATCTACAAAACAATGATCAACTACAAATATTAATAAATGTAATAATAAAATATATGAAAT